AAAATTCCCACGAAAGGAAACAAAAGGAGATCCCCATAAACCACAACACACTTTTAAATTAAAATATTATATGAAATAACCAAAATATATGTTGATATTTGAAAGGGGAAAAAAAGCCTCCTTTCTCATACAAGCTATTCTGTTAATTGAGTAGAATGCAGTCTTTGGGGATCACTGGGTCTCATATTCTCTTGTTTTATAAACCACTGTCCTTAGAATGTACAGCAGTACCTGCTCTGCTGGCAGAAAACCTGTGTTTTGTCTGAAACATTTTTTTCCTGAAAGGCCTTCAACACATTTTTAAAATTCCCAAATATGTTGAGAGTTCTAGAGTTAGAATGAGAACTGGCTTTTTCCTAAGTGTGTATGTAGATATATGTTGTGTCATTATTGGAGCATGTGGTAAGATAATTGTGATTATGCACAAATTGCTAAGCAGATTGCAGAGCACAGAAAACCAAGTCAGCATCAGAAAATACACAAGTCCACTGTTCTCTGGATTTTTATTCTGGCTTTTCTTACCCAGAATGAAGTATCTGTCTCACTTCTCTGACTGACTCTGGAGGGAGCACACTGAGATGGCTCCAACTTCCCAAACTGCCATCTGTTAAGACCATCATAAACCCACTGACAAGTGTTTGTCAGAAATCACTTCAGGGTAATTGATCTCTTTTCTGACACACTTTAGTAGCTAATTTTTAAGACCCTAAATCCGTCATTACTACACATTAGTTGTCAAGGTAACAACACAGCTGTCCTCTGGAAAAAAGAACCTAAAGTACTTGAACTATCACAAAATTATAGGAAAATTGCTTTTAAACACCCATGATCAAAATTTTAACTGAGATGAAAGGAAGCGTAGATCAAAACAACATATCCCATCTCCAACAGCTGCATTCTGTTGCATCATTAGTAAATTTAATTTTGTTTTGTTTACAGTGAATGAAGAGGTGCAATGAACATGCAAAATCACTAGTGCAAGTGATTTTCATTCTCTTCAATCATGCCTTCTTCCTGACAYAATTGTGCCTAACAATTTGTTGCATTCTGCATCTGGTTGTTACCATGATTTCATCCTTTCATTTGATCACTGCATCTGAGCTATTCTTCCAAAGATGTGGTCAGCAGCTCTAGAGGGGCAGAAAGTTATAGGGCCAATGATGGCAATAATGCCTATTCTTATTAATACCCGTGAAAATTTTCACAGTAATAAGGCAAAACACAGAATTCACTATTTTATACAATGCTAAATGCCTGATATATGAGCCTCACAGAATTAGTCATAAAGCTGAAGCCTATTTACAATTTCTGTTTTTTGCCCAAAGTCTCTATTTATTCCCATTAATTCTTAATTTCACTTTCAACATATGTTAGAAAAATCTGCCTGCCTGTTTTTTATCTCCAAAGAAAGAAAACATTTTGCTGTGGGCTGTGTTCCTATTGTACCTCTGCAGTCAGTTGAGGAGCACCTTGCATGAAGCTTGTTTCAGCCCTGGGCCTCCTGACAACTTTGAAGCATCTCAAAAAGAGCTTCCTGACTCTATTAAGGCCTTTCTCTATAGAGGTGAGTGTCTGAAGAAGGGCCTTCCCCAATCCCAAGGGAACATATCAATAGCTCTTCTGTTGTAGATGAGTCTCAGTCAAGCACTCTGCATGAGCTTGAATTTCCATCATCATGTCATTTCCTTCTGTAAATTAATATCTACATGGAAAATTCCCTCAGATGAGAGCATGGCTGAATCACAGATATGTCTCAATATATGTAAAATATGTCTCAATATATAAAGTAATGAAAAGGAAGGAAAAAAAGGATGAAAAAGACACCTCCTCACCTGTATTAGATCAGTTCTCAGCTGCATCCAGTTCTTCTGAAGCATTTTCACAGAATCACAGAGTGGGTAAGGTTGGAAGGGACCGCTGGAGATCAGCTGATCCTATCTCCCTGCTCAAAGCAGGGTCGCCTGGAATGTTCCTTTGTCTGCTCTTCAGTGGATCTGGAAAACAAAATTGCAATTCAATGAGCAAAAAGGCTAAAATCTGTTTTACCACCTCCTTGATAAGAGGAAAGAAGGTTAGTTTGCAAGGTCAATCAGCTGAAACTTGCATTTCTGAAAATTAAGTGGTTGGCAGTACCAGGCATGTTTGTGGCTAAGAAAAACTCAATGATCAGCAGGCAGTAAGAATTTTGGAAACAATTAAGGTGAATTGCAAAATAAGAATGGTCTATAAACATGAAAATCCAAATAAGCAATGCTGTTACTGTTTTTTTTTTTTTATATAATGTGGGTTTTTGGTTTTTTTTTTTAATATAATGTGGCMATAAAGTGGCTGATAGAACAATACTAAAGCCAGCTAGCACCTTCCTGAAGAAGCCAATATTGAAAATATTGTGAAAAAAATTGAGAGCGGGTTTTCAAAATTCAATTGCTTTCCTGGTTAGAATGAATTCATTTAGGCTTACAATGGTTTAAATTTATACTGCTACAAAAGGAAATCTAAAGACTGAAGAAATACCTGTCAAAGAGCATCAGTTATCTAACCCAATGTGTAAACTAATTAACAGCAATTTACAATTATGTGACACCATCCATCTCATGGCATAAAAGTGGTTCACAAATGAATTACTGAAATACATGCAGTAAAAAAAATTATCTGCATTTTATAGTGCAGAAATGGAGGCCTAGAAAGACTAAAGTGATTGCCATGGCAACAAAGAAAATGTGTGCCAAAACGAGGAAGGTACACRGGAATGTTTTACTGTCTTATGGAGCAGTCTCTTTCTAGAGTTTTTTCTTTTGTGCATAGTTGTTTCTTTCCCATCACTGTCACATCTCTGCTGGCTTGTCTCAGCTGCTTATTCCACACATTTCGTAGATGTTTTCTGATTTGCAAGCCTTATATTAAATAACAATTTTTTTTCATTGCATGTAATAAAATAATTTGATATTTTTGATTTGATTTGTATTTTAAAGTTGCCTTGTAATGAGACATGGTTAAGAAGATACTATTTTAAGACATCTTAAAGTAGAAATAGCCTGTGCTCTCAAGTGAGATATATGTATGCCCACAAAAGAGAACTAGTACCAGCAGCAAATTAGAATGAAGAGATTTTTTTATTTTGGATAAAAGCACCAGCTAAAACAGCCTACTGATTTTCTTCAGGTTTTAAACTATGGAATCAAACTTTCAGTTGGCATTAGCAGATATTGCTCCCATGAAATCAGTGGTACATGGTGAAGTTCTGGTTCAGAGTGACCAGGTGAGTTTGTTATCCTACACATATAGAAGGCAGGTATATGCTGGCCCGTTGGTTGCATGCTTTTAGCTGTAATAAGTGGAGCAATCAGAGCTGTACTGTGGAGAGCTGAGGCTCAACTCTGTCAAAAGACACAGTTCTGCACATGAGCTGTCCTCACAGCCTTTTAATATTTCAGGGAAACAGCATGTGAACAAACCTGTTCGGGGCTTAAGCTAAAGCTGGGGCTTTTACAAGCATCTTGGTGACACATCTCATTCACCCTAATTCATTGTACCTATTTAGAGAAAAAATAATCCARACATCTAAATAATATAGGAACCTCCAAACCTATAACTTCATGGTTATATAGTTACTCGTCCACCAACACCCCCAAGTCTTTTGCCCGAGGAACAGCCTCAATCTGTCCTCTGCCCAGCCTGTCCCTGTGCTCAGGATTGCCCCAGAACCTTGCACTTGGCCTCGTTCAGCTGCCTGAGTGCCCCTTCTCAAGCCTGTGAAGATCCCATTGGATGACATCCCTTCMCTCCACTTAATCAAGTACTTAAATGCCAGTTGAAAGGCACTTTATTTACAAACACGCTCTGCTCTGAAAGCCTGACCTTGCCAAAAAATAAGCTTTTGGGAGCGATTTAGATGTTTAACTGTAATTTTATAACTAATTGTGAKAGATGAACACTACAAGTGCATAGTTAAACACCGATGCCGAGTGTAATGGTTACATTCTGATAGCGTACAACAGAAAAGTCTTGGGGACTAAGCCATTCTCTTCTTGGGGTTACGGGCAAGGGTTGGTTTCAGAGGACAGCGACAACTTCGACTCCGGTAATGTCGGGGTGACTGGGGCTGTTGGTTTACTCTAAAGGAGATGCTGCGGGCACAGTGCTGTTACAAAGCAAGGAATATTTGGAACGCACACAAAGCTGCTCCTTCGCCTCGTCAGAAATGCAAGGCCGCCCTCTCGTGGCCCCTGCTGTTTGGGACAATTGCTTTGGCTGTGACGGCTGTCGTTGCTGGTGGCCGCAGCTGGAAGCACTCGTGCCGGCCTCAGAAGGGCTGGGCTATGGAACAAACACAAACAAACACATATTTTCCGTTTTGATCAGGTGCCTGTTGTGTTCGAACCGGCCGGAGCTGAAAGCAAAGAGGTGCTGCCCGGCCCTACAGAAAACTCCGTTTTGTTTGTC